CCGAGGGAATTGACTGGAATTGCAAGTCCTCTGGTCAAGAAGCCCTAGTCAATACTCTTCCCACCTCAGCTTGCCTTCCAGGAAGATGCTCAGTAAAACTTGAAGCTGGGAAACATATTTCTTCTTCCTGGGAGAGGGCAGAGGGTCATTCATTTGCCCACTCATTCATCAAAAAGGTATTAAGCACCTACTCCATGCCAGGCTGGGTAATTATGGGGACATAGGTGAAATCAGACAGACCGGGGTCCTACCCTCGGGGAGCTCTCAGGCTGTAGGCGTATCAGGCCACTACTAGACAGTGACAATGTAGAGCAGTGCTATCCAATAGAAATGTAATGCAAGCCACATACGCAATTTGAAATTTTCCATAAAGAAACAGGCGAAACTTTAATATTAATAGTTTAACCCAAATATATCAAAAACATTTTGCCAAGTTATGTTTAATGGAAAAATGTTTTCATTGCTTCAGTTCTACAATTTTAGTTAAAATTAAATAAAAGTAAAGGTTTATTGGATAGAGCTGGAACCCATTCTACTAAGTGAAGTATCCTAAGAATGGAAAAACAAGCACCACGTGTACTCACCAGCAAATTGGTGTTAACTGATCAACACCTACGTGCACATATAGTAGTAACATTCATCGGGTGTCAGGCAGATGGGAGAGGGCAGGAGGGGATGGGTATATACACACCTAATGGGTGCGGTGCGCACTGCTGGGGGATGGACACGCTTGAAGCTCTGACTCAGGTGGGGCAAGGGCAATATACGTAACCTAAACATTTGTACCCCTGTAAAATGCTGAAATAAAAAAAAATATTTTTAAAAAGTAAAGGTTTATGAGGCACAAAGATATCCATTTGTGGCATTGGTTGTAATAGCAAAAGATGGGAAACTGCCCAATGTCCATTAACAGAAATTTGGATAAATAAATGATAGTTCAGCCACACAGTGGAATACCTTCAGCTGGGAACTGTTGAGAAATGAGGCAGAGCTATATGTATTAATATGAACCAATCTGTAAGATATATTAAGAGAGAAAAAGGTGCAGAATAGTGTATATAATATACTATTGTTTGTATAAGAAAAATATTTTTTACATATATGTCTGTATATATATATACAGAACACCATTAGAAAGACACAGGAAACACAACCAGGATTACCTCTCTGAAGGGGAAACAGAAGGACAGGTGAGCAGGTGTGAAAAAGTGACCTTTTTTTCCTTATATGTCCCTTAGTACATTTTGAATATTTTTACCATGTCCACTAAAAAATGTGTTTAATTAAAGGGATAATAGCTAAGTCATGGAATCATTGCAAGATTACATAAAACAATATATGTAAAACGCCAATGCCACTTTACAACCTAATCAATCCTGGAGTCTATCATTCCTCTCAGGGATCCAGGATAACTCTTTCACCCAATAGAAACTATTTAATAGCTCACCCTGTTAATGCATTTTGCCTGTCTGAAAATTTGTTTCTTTCTGTAAAGAAAGTTAAGTGCATTCCACCCCCAGCCCTAGCTATGCAGCCACTGAAGGCCAGAGAGCAGCACTCCCAGACCCTGGGGACAAACATGGGCTCCTTATCAGTAATGTCATTCAAAGAACCAGGTAAGCCAAGGTTGCCCCTCCGACTTTACAGTCAACTGATTAGACCCTTCTGATACCAGCTTAATTTTCTATACCCCCTTCCCCAAATGCAACACCCACCTGCAAGGCTATATAATCCATGCAGGGACCTACCCCGCAGTGTGTTTTGGAGTCCCAAATCACTTTGGCCTGGGCTTCCTGCAGCAGGATTAGCAGAACTGACCCTCTGCTATGGCTAAGCCAAGGCCCTGTGTGCCTAGAACACATCACCCTCCTTTGTCGTATGTACTCATAGCACTTTGTACTTTTCCTTCTTAAGACTGAATCTAGTGTAATTTGTTTTAAGTTTGAGAAAATTAAAAGTTGCAGGAAAGTTCAAAGAATAATATAATTCATCCCCCAGAATTTGCCATTGTAATCAATTTTATGACTATTCTTTGATGCCTGTCTTCCCTGAACTGTAGGTTCTATGGAGCAGGAACGCTGCCTGTATCCCCTCCCACACCTGTAACAGAGAACACGGGGCCAATGAGTGACCCAAAGGGAGCCCAGGGTCCTGACAGTGTTGTGGAGTGCAGCGCCCCCTAGAGCCAACTCTCTTTAACAAGGCAGGGCTGGTGCGCCGTTTGCCTTCCCCTCAGACCACCATGAACACTATACCTTGCAGTGGGCTCCTGCCAAGAAAAAGCATATAGCTCCACCGTCAGTGCCCAATCATGGACCTAGCTTGTCTCCACAGTCAGCAGGACAAACCATATGTTGTCCCCAAATACTCTCTCCCCTAAGTTGGCCACAAGGCTTGAATTCTCCCATTAAATTATCTTCAGGTTTTCAAGATACTAAACAGTCATGACCATTGGGATTAAAGCATCTGGAGCTCACGCCAAATTTGCTTTTAAGGATCGGTACCGGGATTAGGGAGTCAAATGTGGGGGATTTTAGGAAAGAGGCTTCCTCTGAGGGTTAACTTGAGGAAACTGGTTTATGGGGTGGGACAGAGTGGCAAAAAATAAATCAACATAAACGCTAGGGGTTTGAAGGCCCTCTTTCTCACTTACCTCCTAGAAATGTTTCCCCAAAGGGTCCCAACCACTCACTTTTTTAGGCTTGTCAGGAGAAGTGGGACCCAGAGGAGACACCTGGAACAGTGGGAACTGAGGGCAGTGACTGCAAATTTGCTACAAATAAGTACTCTCTCAGCAGCTCTGGGCCTCAAGAAGGAGCTGGTGGGGTGAATCTGCGCTGTGGGGCCTGGCTCGCGGGGCCATCCGCAGACGTGCAGGATCTGAAGCAGATCACACCTGGCGCTTGAAAGGTGATCCGAATGAGCAGCAAGTGCAGGGTTGAAGCAAAGCAGAATGGAAAATGATATCACAGGAGGGTAGCACACAGCCTGGGGAGAATGGAAAGAGACAGAGGGGATGCTACTGACAGCCAGTCCTCAGTCCCCACTGTGGGTGGATCTGTCAGACAGCTTTCTTAGCAACAGCTCGCAGAACTTCCTCCTCCTCTGATACTGTAGGAGAATGCTGATCTGTGGATTAGATCTTAGTCTTGAATCTGCCCTATGGAGACTTGAACACGTCCCCTTTCCTCGCTGAGATCATGCTCCTCCTTTGTACAATGGAGATGGTGATATCTGCCTCTCTGGATTCTTTGAAGAACTAAGTAATTGATGTGAAAGCTTTGTTGTGGGCTCCAACCCCCTTTATGTATATGAGATGATGATGAGTTTTGCCTGCTGCTTCCTTCCCCAAATCCAGCCATCCAGTCTCTATGGCAACACAGGGGCCTTGGCTTAGCCATACTAGAGGGTGGGTTCTGCTGATCTTGCTTCAGGAAGCTCAGGACTCCAACAGCTCTCTAAACCAGTTCTCACACTTCAGTGTGAAGATCAGGTGGAGAGCTTGTTACAGCTCAGATTGTTGGGCCTTAACCACAGAGCTTCCACTTCAGTAGGTCTGGGGTGGGGCCCATAATTTACATTTCTAACAAGTTCCCAGATGGTGCTCATGCTGCTGGCCTGGGGAATCACACTTTGGGAACCATTTCTCTAAATTTGATGAAGTTTTCCTTCACCTGGCAGGCAAGGTTGGCCTCCATCGCCCTCTGGTGGCCAGACTATAAATTTCGCTGTCATGTTTCCAGAGCAACTGAAAAGTTACAAAGTACGGGTTGCAAGGAATGGAGTTGTCACCTGCCTGAGAAGGAGGCCAGCCTAAAATCAGCAATCATAATTGTTTGTCACTTCAGAGTATGCTTAAAAGGGTTTTCACATGAATTGATACTATTTGGTCTTGGCAAAAACCCTGTGAAGTAGGCAAGACTGGCATTTTCTTTGCTTGCTTGCTTTTTCTTTTTGGTGGAGACAGAGTCTTGCAATGTTGCCCAGCCTGGTCTTGAACTCCTGGCCTCCCGTCTTGGCCTCTCAAAGTGCTGAGATTACAGGTGTGAGCTGCTACGCCCAGCCAGGCATTTTCATTTTACAAATGAGGAAAAACAAGCCCATTGTCACACTAGTAACGACAGACTCCCTGACAGAGGGGGATTGTTAAAAGTAAGATTTATTCACAGTCCAACCAGGAAAAGTAGGTTTGTCCTCATGAAGGCCAAAGAGAAGGGAATGGGAAAGAGAACGATGAACAGCAGATATACCTCCTGTAAGAGAGCTGCCTGATTCCACAAGCCTGGGGAAGCCTGTGAGGCCAAATGCTTGGATCCTTTCTCCGTCCGCGCTAGGCAGGGCTGGCTCTTAGTCCTGGGTGCCCCTTGTCTGTTTCCTAACTCAGTAGTGAGACCTGAACGTCGATACAATCACCTAGGGAGTTTGCCGTAAGTGGAGGATCCTGGGTCCCACTCCCATGGTTCTAATTCAGTAGGTCTAGAGTAGGGGCCCAGGAATCTGCATTTTAAGACCTCCCCCACCCCCAGGAATCCTGGTGTAGGAGGTCCAGGGAACACATTTTGAGAACCCCTAGTCCTCACAAAATGCTCTCCTGACATACCACAAAAACGAACTATTATTTGCCTGTAAGGGTCTTCTTTTCAGGGCCCTCTCTAGGTTTCTCTGCTTCCCTCACACATAATATCCTACTGGGTTATGATAGAAAAATGCTAAGATTCAATCTCCAACTCCTTTATTTACCCTCTTCAAGCCTCCGTTTTCTCACCTACAAAATGGGTAATACCTACCTTACTGGGCTGTAGTGAGGATTAAATGAGAAGGTACGTCCTGTGCACGGTTACTGACATTTAGAAGGTGTTCAATAAACGTGAGTTCACGGTTCTTGCCTTCTGATTCCCAGCTCCTCGAAAAGCAGCAGTGCCTAAGCCAGCCTCTTTTGGATTCCCACAGGTTTTTAAGCACCAGTCAGTCCTGAGGAGGACCAAGAGATAATCAAGGTGATGTCTTCCCCCAGACTCATTCCTCTGTGGAAAGATTTTAAATACTGCGTAAATGAAATTGTACACAATAGCAAGGTAATGTATATGCAGGACATAAACGTGTTATTGGTTGGCCTCTATCTGTCTTACACTCCAGTAGAGCCACAGATTGTCTTTGAGAGCAGGAAGCAAGCAGGATAGACCATAAAGACAATTGTCGCCCTATAGGAAGTAGGCCATCAATTTCCAAATGAGTCTACAGACCTCTTACAAGGACATTTTGATAGTGGGAGGTGACAATTTTGGAGCATTGTCAGAGGAACCAACCTTCTGGGAAGAGAGATTTTCTAAAAGAGAAGGAAGAAGGCACCAGAGTGAACACTTGCCAACCTCAGTTGTGCTATGGTTGGCTCGGAATAAAATGATCCCAGGTGCGTGTTTCATCAGCACAAACGCTTATCGCTGTGGGATAATATATATTGTACATGTGCCGGTCCTCTGTCAAATTTAAAGGCCAGATAGGGCCTTTAAGAGTCTTAGTATAGTTTTAAGCTTTAATAACTTAGAGCTGCACTAACTTGTGGGACACCCTGTTAGGTCACATGTGGGTATAAGGTGATGTGCTTGCCCGGGTAATCTGTTAAATGTTGTTTCTTTCATGATACATGTACCTTTTAGACAAAGGGAGACTGTCAGATGCAGGTGTGGCTAACATCAGGTTAGGAAGAACATCATTTTCCCCTGTGTTCACACTGTAAAATTTGCCCATATCGGCCCTCTAGGGGTTTCGTTCCCTTCTGCATTGGGTGATTTGTTACAGGTTTGTGAAGTATAGATGTCCCACAGGTGATAAGCTGTGCATGTGTGGGTGTAACAGTCCTTGGGATGGGAGGCATGATTTTGCAAACTGCTCCAAATGTGACTTGTGTGAGACTATATTTAGCGTATGTGTTCTCTGACCTCTTAGTTTATGCTATGCTTCTCCCCAGCAATCTGTAGATGAACCAAAGAAAAACCTAGTTGTGCTGAGTGACCAGTCCCAGATATTGTTCGAAGAGTCTCGCTATCCTCAAAATATGCCACTTATATGCCATTACTACAGTGACGCCTACTTCTTTGCCTCCCTCTCTTGGGCGACACCACACACAAAAGAAATACAGGTAAAACTGCCTTTCTTACCCTTCTTAGTCCGTTCTCCAAGGGCCATGCCCATATAGCTCTTAACCCAGATAGACAAAGGAAGATATGCTCCTTGAATGAATGGGATCTGGATCCAGTATTCCCCCCACATCCTTTCTCCAGTTACAGTCTCCATGTTGAGTAAAGATTATGGTTCCCCTAAAGTAGGCCAAGGTTGGGGAAAGGGTCCTAGGCTTCTGTCTCTACCATTTTTCCAACTCTCATCACCAAGGGGTAAAATCACTCTAGAGTCTTCCAATTCCTCCTTAGCACAAAACAGGGAAAGTACCTAAATATTCTGCCCTTTCCTCCTCTACTATCTTTTCTAGGCAGTTTCTGTCTCATTCTCTTCTAGGCTGTCGTATGGATGATGGGCAAAACTGATGACATGGTCGAGAAGAGAACATTCTCCATGACTGAACGACTACCGCCCATTCAGTCCATGGTCCACACGGGTTCCTTTCATATCATCGTGGCTTACTGTAGTGACATGATTCTGCGGCTCTTTGGGGACCACTTTCGGGCATTCAAACCCCTAGGTATAGTGCCATGCCGCTTCAACATCAGCTGCCTCTGCTATGACCCGGAAATGGAAATGCTCTTGTCTGGCACCCTGGGGGCAGTGGTCACCTGGGTCATTGAGCACGGTGGCAAGGGCCTCCAAATCGTCCACGTGGTTTCCATGCCTGGGGAGGAGCTTGTCCAGGACATCATGCTGAATGGCCCCCACGGCTCCCTCCTAGCCCTGTGCGAGACCGTGGTGAGGGTCCTCGAGCGCGAGGGCCAGGGCCGGCTGGGAGAGGTAAAGAGGTTCATTTCCACCAGCAGCGGCTCCCCCATCACCTGCTGCTTCACCTGCTCTGATCAGGGCTTTCTCTATGCTGGAAACCAGGCTGGGGAAATCCAAGTATGGAGCCTCGTTCAAGGCCAGTCTCTCCACAGCTTCAAGGCTCATCGCTCAGCAGTGATATGTATCCGCAGCCGGCCAGAGGCCCACACGCTGCTGACGGCTGGCAGTGAAGGCATCATCAAGGAGTGGAACCTTACTTCCGGGAACCTGCTTCGGCGGCTAGAACTTGGCGAGGAGCTGTATAGACTCCAGTTTGTTGATGATGTTACTTTCTTCTCCCAAACCACCCACAGTTTTTCCTTGCGCCGTCTGCCCTGCTTCTATAGCCTCTTCAACATCTGCGGTTCTGCTCCTCAGCAGGTGCGTCGGGTCCGCTGTGGAGACAACTGCTTCCGGATCCTGTGCGCTACTGAGGATGGCTTGTTGCGCTTTTTGTCCCCATTAACAGGGGATCTTCTGATTCTTACCTGGCCCTTCTCAGTGCTGGACAAGGCTGTGGATTGGGCCTATGACCCAGGTAGAGAGGAGCTCTTTGTAGCAACAGGCAGCTCAGAGGTGCTGGTGTTTGACACAGCCCGCTGCCCTTGCCCAGCCAAGTACCTCTTACGCACCTCGCCAGATCCTCAGGACTTTGTACAATGTCTGGCTTATGGGCATTTCCACCTGGGGCGGGGTCTAGAAGGACTGATGTTCTCTGGACACCAGAGTGGTATAATCAGAGTGCTTTCCCAGCACAGCTGTGCCCGAATAGAGAGACTCATGCACTCTGGGGCTGTGCTGGCACTCTCTACGCCATCTGGAGGGCTTTTCGGGGGCCGAGCAAACTCTTTCCTCTGTTCCTATGGAATGGATGACTATATACACCTGTCAGAAGCTGTGCTCGAGAGGGTCAGAGTACAGCTACGGCCCCTCGCCAGCATTCTCAGCAGCTGTCACCTCAACCACCTGAGGCTTTTGCCCAAGTCTGTTTGTGCCATCACAGAGACTAACTGCCTGCGTCTCTGGAAGTTCCAGGATTTTCTGTCCTCTGAGTTTCAGAATGGCTCGACATTCATAGAAACATTGCCTCTGCACCAGTGTGCCATCACATCCTTTGATGTCTGTCTGTCCTTGAATCTTTTTGTCACAGGTGCTGTTGATGGCACCGTCCGGGTCTGGGACTTCCATGGTAGACTCATAGCCATGCTGGACTCATCAGTGCACTTTGGCCCACTCTGTTTTGCAAATGACCGGGGTGATCTGCTTGTGACTTTCAACCAGAGTCTTTATCTGGTTTCCTCTTTGAAACTGTTTCCTCCAAACCTACTAGCTCGCCTTTCCTTTGTGAGTATAACAGATGAAGCACTAGAAGTCCCTAAGCCCTTCATACCAAGCTTCTTCTTTTCCTTTGAGACCATATTTGTGCCCAAGTATATTTACCCAGGGCATGGGCAACAGGAATTAGTGGGTCTGGTGAGCCTTGTCAATAACCGGGCCATTGCCTTTGACCATTCTGTGCCACATGTCATAGAAGAAGATGAGGAAGGGAGTCCAGTAGTACTGTCTACCCCCACATGTGATTATTTTCAGGAGGCAGAAGCTGATTGGAAGCAGATGAGAAAACCTTACCAACCCCATTATGTGATTCCTCCCCAGCTGGAGATAACTAGCTGGGACGGACTCAACCCCTATCAGATATTGCGATGCTACTTTGGTCAGGGGCGGGAATGGCTCCTTGCCCCTGATTGCTATATCCCCAACTCAGTGATTCGTGCCCGTCTTTGGCCAGAGGGCAGCCCGATATACCTGCAGTGCAGCCTGCACTCACCCCAGCGGGAAGTGGAATGGAACAAGTCTCAATTTTTCTTCTGGCACAGCAGGGTAAGACGTATGAGTGATAAAGGAGAACCCTCAAAGGAGAAGGAGGATGCAGACTTCCTAGAAATGAGACTATCCAAGGATGTAACCTATGGCGTCATTACAGATGGAGCAAACCGAAGTTGGCTGGGAAGAAAGATGAGTGAACTAGCTGTTAATAGCCTGATTGAGACAATCCTCAATATTATGATTCATGCTTCTCCCCTGAAGTTCCAATGCTGTGTTGGTGCCCTAGGGCAAATCTTTGCCTCTTACCAGGTGTCTCCATCCCTGCGCTCTGAGACAGCCCGTCGTCTGCTGGACGAGACAACCAATTCTAACCCACTGATCCGAGAACTAGCCTGGGAAGGGCTGAAGCGTCTAGGAATGATTACTCATCTCTTTGCCATGCCTCTGGCCCAAGGATTAATGGACAAGGACCAAAGAGTGAGGAATAAGACCTTGAACCTCATGGCTGATATTGGAATCCACTCGAAGACCTCACTCTTAGAGTTGATCCAGAAACGAGAGGTTTTCCGAGAGATGCAGTAAGTTGTTTGTACCTTCCTCAATTCTTTACCAGCTTCTAATTTTCTTTTCCCCTTCCCTTTCCTTGGTATGCATTCCCCATTTTTCCCTTCCCTTCCTTTTCCATCCCTGTTCATTAGCTCTCCCTGACCCTCCTTCTCTTTCATAGCCTTTCTCCGTTCCTAGATGACTAGCCTTGACCGTCCTGACGGCTCACTCCTTTCTCCATTTCTTTTCCTATTCCTGTCTATCCCCTACCTCTTCAAGTTCCACTTTTCATCGTTTTCTCCTACCCCTGCTTCCTAGACTTTTTCTTCTTCTTGGCCATCATTTATCTCTACATATATTGTCCCTCTTGGCTACTTTGCCACACCCACTGCGTGTTCCACAGTAGTTCTTTCCTTCCTATTCTCCCTTTTGTCCCTGATTCAACATAGTCCTTCTTCTCCTTTGACTTCCCTAGGCAGGAGATGATTGGGGAGGAAACCTTGGACCACATCCTGGGGATGCGGCCCACAGATCTCCAGATCCTTCACACACAAGTGGAGCAGCGACTGAATGAGGACCTGACCTTGTCACATGGAGACCAAAAGCCTGCTTTTTCTTTAGATGTATCATCCTTTTCCATACATCCTCCCCAAGTTTCTGAAGAAACCGAAGTGGCCACCAAGCACAGCAAAGGCCACAGACGGGGCCGAGCAGGGGGCAAAAAGCAGAGTACGTAAGGGGTGATCTGGTCCATGCCTCAGGGTCCCCAAGAGGCAGGGTAGTTAGGGTTAAAGTGGGTCAAGAGATACCAGGTAGGAAGAGAGGTATGTGGAAAGATCTTGTCATAGAAAGGAACTCTCCTAGGAAGGATCCACCCAAACTCAGGAAGACCCCAAGGCCTATCTTTCCAGGATTTTGTTGGAGAGAGGAGGCTGGGAATACAGCAAGGAGAATGCTTTTTTTTTTTTTTTTTAGGCCTCAGCCCTCTCTGTTGCTACTTCCTTTATGGTAGTTCCTCTTAGCTCACACCAGATATTGGGAAGGGTTTCATTTAGCTTCCCATGCTTTCCTTACCTCCATCTCCTGATTTTCCCCACAGCCCGAAAATCGTTGCGGGTTCTCAAGACGAAAGAGGGAGTCCCAGAGGCGGGTCCCATAGAGGGTGAAGGCGATGAGAGTGAAGCTGTACCAATTGACATGGAGGAAACATCCATCCCTTCCAGGTCTTCAATTAGCAGCATCATCAAGGTGTCAAAAGATGCTGAGGCTCAAGAGAAAGATGTCTCAAAGGATCACTATGCGTTGGAGATGCTAAGGAGAATACGGGACAAAAGAGGCAAGAAAGGAAAAGCTCAGAAACCCCTAAAGAGTCACAAGAAGAAGAGAAAAGAAGCCCAAGTTATAACTGCGGAAACTCCGCCTCCTAGGCAGGAAGAACCAGTTATTTCAGAGGTTAAAATCAAAGGGCGAGGTGCCGCTGGAGAGCCTGGCCGCAGGGCTACCCGTGGAGATGGCTCATCATGGCGGGATGATCTGTGTCGTCTTATGACCCTGAGGATATCTGGTTCCCAAACAAAAATGTCACAAGATTTAAACAATGAGCTAGTGACTGTAGCTAAGGAGATGCTAGTAGATCGGCACCCCAGCTGGGAACTCTTTCAGGAGATCTGTCCCCTGTTGAAGGAAGAAAGCCAGGTTTCTTTTGAGGACCTTGATTGGGATGTAGTCTGGCCAGAGGAAAAACCAATTTTTATCCATGAAGAAGCAATTAGAGAGGACATGGTGATCAGAGACATGGAAGAGTTACGAGAGGCACAAGAACAAGTGCAAAAAGAAGAAAGAGGCGTGCAGGACTTGGAGGCAACCCAAGTGATTCCGAAAAAAGGCAAGAAAAAGAAAGTGATTTTTTTAGAACCAGGTGACCTAACCAAGAGAAAACGAATATCAAAGAAAGAAGAGAAGAAATCCTTTAAGAAGTCACCTAAGCAAGAAAGGAAAGCACTCCAGCAAGAAAGAAAAATGGACAAAAAAGACAAGGAAATTACCAAAGAAGAGAAGGATATGAGTGAGAAAGTGAAGGAAATGGCCAAACCAAAGGAGAAAGTGGTTGAGCAAGAAGTACAACCAGTTATGGTTGAGAGGAAGCTATCTTGGCAGGACCGGAAAAAGTCCTGGGATCAGTGGAAACAGGTTCATGGTGAGACAAGAACATCCTGGGATGAATGGAAGCAAACTTGGGAGAGTAAGCATCTTCCGGAATTGGAGAAACTACCCCAGGCTGAAGAGAAGCTACTCCAAGATGGGGAAATGCTGGAGGGAGACAAAAGGAAGCTGGAATGGGGTGAATGGAAACAGGCCTGGGAAAATATGTTGCCATCAAAGGCCGAGGAGCAACTGTACAAGGATCAGGAAGAAGTGACTCAAGAGGAGGAAGTGTCTCAGGAAGAAGTGTCTCAGGAGGAAGAAGTGACTCAGGAGGAGGAAGTGTCTCAGGAGGAGGAAATGACTCAGGAGGAGGAAGTGTCTCAGGAGGAGGAAGTGACTCAGGAGGAGGAAGTGACTCAGGAGGAGGAAGTGATTCAAAAGTGGGAAGAAAAAGAAGAGCTGGTCACAGAAGAGCAGAGACAGATCCAGGAAGATCAGAAACAGGCCAGAATACAGAGGAAACGAGCCCGAGCTAAAAGAAAACGAGCCAAAGAAGAGAGGAAACTAGCACAAGAAGAAGAGAACCTTGCAAAAGAAGAGAGAGAACTGGCCCACGAAGAAAGAAAACTGGCCCATGAATATGTGAAAGTGGTCCAGGGAGATGGGAAAATGGCCCAGGCAGAGAGGAAGTTTGCCCAGAAAGAGGAAAAATTGGCCAAAAGAGGGGAGAAGCTAAGCTGGAAAGCAGAGAAATTGGCCCACAAAAGGAAGAAACTGGCCAAGAAATTGGAGAAAGTGGCTACAGAAGAAGAGAAATTAGCAATGAAAGGTGGGAAACTGGCAGAGATAAAAACAATATTGGTCCAGAAAGTAGAAAATCTGGCCCAGAAGGAACAAAATCTGGACAGGCAAGAAAAGGAGCTGGCCCAGGAACTGGAGGAACTGGAATGGGACATAGAGGAACTGGCCTTGAAAGAAGAGGAACTGGATCAGAAAATGGAGATACTGGTTGAGGAAAAGGAGAAACTGGCTCAGCAAGAAAAGACACTGGCCTGGCAAGAGAAAAAACTAGCTGAGGAAGAGAAAAAACTGGCCCAGGAAGAAGAACTGCTGATCCAGGAAGAGGAGAAACTGGCCCAGGGCAAGGAAAAAATGCCTGAGAAAGAGAAAAGACTGGCCCAGAAAAGGGAGCAATTGATTGAGAAAAAGGAGAAACTGGCCCAGGAAAGGGAAATATGGGTCCAGAACAACGAAGAACTCATAAGGAACAAGAAGGCAGTGGCCCAGATGGAGAAGAATCTGGCTCAGGAAAAGAAGAATCTGGCTCGGGAGAAGGAAAAACTGGCTCATAGGAAAGTGAACCTCCTCTTTAGCAAAGAAATAGTCACCAAGAAGAGAGAGCACTTAGTAAAAGTAAAGGAGAAAGTGGAGATGTACAAGGAGAAATTGGCTCAGATAGAGGAGAAGCTGAGACAGGACAAGGAGACAGTGCTCCAGAAGAAGGAAAAACTGGCTGATGCAGAGAAAAAACTGGTCCAAGCAGAGGAAAGTCTGGCTGAGCAACAGAAGAAATTGGCCCAGGAAAGAATGAAATTAGCTATGGAGAAGAAAGCATTTTTCCATGAAAGGAAACTTCTCCGAGGAGAGTTGGATGTTGCTAAGGAAGAAGAGGCATTGAACCTGGAAATGAAGAAATTGGCCCAAGAGAAGATGAGACTGGGTGAGGGAAAGGAAACTCTTCCCAAGAGAAAGACTAAAGAAACTTTAAGACAGACAAAACTGACTAAGGAAGAAATGGAACTAATTAAGAGGAGGTTGTCACTACAGGAGAAGATATTGATATATGAAGATAGGATATTGGCCACAGAGGAAAGTAACATTGCCAAAGGAAAATTGGAATGTACTAGAGGACAGAGAATATATGCCCAGGAAGAAAGGAAGTTAGTCACAGCAATAAGGATGTTGGCTAAAAAAAAGGAGGGCATTTCACAGGAACCAACAAAAATGAACAAAATCTTAAAGGCACTTCGAAAACTAATCAGTGATGAAAGGCAATTAACCCAGGAAGAAATAAAGATGGCAAGGATAAAGAGGTCACTCTTTGTTAAGGAAAACAAATTGTACCAGGAACAGAGTAGACTTGATATCAAAGAGTGGGATGTTTCTGAGGAACAATCAGATATGACCAAAGATGAGAAGAAACTGGCTTGGAAGCAGAGAAAACTGACCAAGGCAATAAGAAGAATGATAAACAAAGAGGAAAAAATGACTGAGGAAGAAAGCAGATTGGCCAGGAAACATAATGAGGTCATGATACAGGATGAAGAAGAAGAAGGAGTAGAAGAGGAAGAAGAGGTAATCCCCTTTCTTAAACAAAGAGGGAGAAAAAGAAAAGAGGAAAAGAGAGTTGATACACCAAAGGAAAAGTTTTCTAGTCAATTGGATGAGCTGGAAAGTGATGAGTACTTTTCTGAAGAAATGGAAAGCCTATTAGAGGAACTAGAGCAAGAGAGTTTGTCTGAGGAGGCAGAAGAGGAGGAAGAGGAGGAAGAGAAAGAGGAGGAGGAGGAGGAGGAGGAAGAGGAGAAGGAGGATGAGGAAGAGGAGGAGGAGGAGGAGAAGCAAAAGGAGAAAGAACAGAAGGAGAAGGAAAAGAGGAAGGAAAAGAAGAAGGAAAGGAAGAAGAAGGTAGTACAGGAGAAAGAGGAAGTGTTCAAGGAGAAGGAAGAAAGCAGGAGTGAGGAAGACATGGAAAGTTTGAGTGAGGAGGAAGAGGAGAGAAGCTCATTGGAAGAAGAGGTGGACAGGGAAAAAGAGATCCTAAAAAAAGAAAAACAATTTAAGTTACAAGAAGAAAGAATAAAGAGCCCAAGAGGAAGGGAAATAGTCCCTTCCATTGGACAAGGAGTTTCTCATATCAAAGGCAGTACTATGAAACTGGGACTTATAAAAAGCCCTTTTAAGAAACTGATTTCAGTGTCTCTGAAGATGCAAAGGAAGATACCAGTGCCAGTGTCAACACTGGTGCCAGTGAAAGAAGTATCCTTGGAAGATGACAAGGCCATAGCACTTGAGAGGTCCAGGAAATTGTCAAGGGCAAGGCTTATGGATAAAAAAAGAGAACTGTTGGAGAAATTTAAGTCCATATCTCTACATGTTCCAGATATACCTCCGGAGTCCCAGGAACAGGACTTAAAGACCCCATTCATATCCCACATATTTAGAAAGACCATGGAAGCTCAGAAATTCCAACGCAAAACACCACGTGCCCGGTGGAAGTGGTTTCTGGAGCATCATCCACCTCTGAGAAGAAAGCCTAAGGTACAATTACCTCCCTCCCAAATCCTGGCTGAGGAACAACATCGAGATGTAAGCCTTTCAGATGTAAAGTGGATCCACCACGTCCTAGAACGGATGGAAGCAGGACAACAGCCTTCCAGGGATAGTTTCCACAGATTGTGTCAGCTCCTCAAAGACCTCACCTCAAAGGAAAACTTAGATTGGCTGCATCTGGCCAAACTTGAAGCCATTGTGTACCGTCACAGGCAGGCCCTGGAGTCACAAAGTACAAGGATCTCAAAACCCAGTAAGGAGGCCATGAGTCCAAAATACCTGAAAGTGATTCCTCCTATAAAAGGAAAGGAAAAGGAGAGTTGGCTAAAACCTTTGGCTATCCCCACACCCAAGTCCCCAATAGCTACCAAAAGAATTCCAGACCCAAAGGCTATAAACTGGCATCTTCTAGGAGAGCCTCACAGAAGTGAGCGAGCACAGCAGATATCTACCGCTCTCAAAGAGATGGAAATACAAAACCTTTATCCTGCCACAAGAGACATTTTTCCAGGTGCCCATGCCTCTGTGGAAAAACAAACCCTAGCACTGATGTTTCAAAAGGATTTCTGGGATTTTAAGGATAAGGGCAGGTTTCCCAAATTGCCCAAGTTAGAGAAGAAGACACAGCGCATCTCTAAAAAAAAGGAAGACGTTCCTCTATGGGAGACATTTGTGGCACTGTACCATGTTTTGCGGACGCTGCAGCAGCGATATGCAAAAGACAGCGCTGCTTGGATGGAACAGTTCTACCAGCTCATGGACTTGTACCGACTTAAGTCCCCCCGAATCCAGAGGCTGCTACAGGAGCTGCTAATGAGAGAGAAACCTCAACCCCAAGAGATTATCTACAAAGAGGCCCTAAAGGCCACAGAGCTAGTTCCTGGGGAGCGATTGTTCCACTGCCTGTTTTGTGGTGGCTCTCATACACCTAGAAGCACTCAGGTGTTCCAGGATGTGGTACCCCTCCCTGGGAAGAACAATGTGCGCACCATCCTTCCCATAGGCATTGCCCAGTATGGGATCTTAGAACTTGCCTGGAAAAGCCTGCCTCAAGCTGATATTCATCTCACCAAGAAATTGCCCCACAATGTTGCTCCTGCTCCCTAATCTGGGACTGACTAGAGGTTAAGACTTGTCATTCTCAACTGGCAAAAGGCCTGGTCACCAAAATCTAGACCTTCATCTCTAGGCCCACATAGAAGTAGGGCCAGGTCAAAGCCCTCTCCTTACCCAGCTCTAGAAACCAGCTTCCATATGTGTAATAAAGAGGAGGTTCTCGTTTGTAACAAGCACTTTGATGTGTCCCTTTTCTCCAAACTTTGGCTCTCCAGGAAGGTAGCCAGGAAAACCAGATTCTCACATACTCCTGAGAGTGGGACAACTTCCCAAAACCCAGTGGTGCTGTGGAGGCACTGAGGCAGAGAGTCTGTCCTTGTCCTCTTCCTTTCTTGCTTCCCACCATCTTCCTCCAAAAACTATAGGAAGGAAAGCACCTGGCCCCCAAATAATGTATATTTGGCATTAATATAAGAGGTATTGATATGGTGGAAAGAGAATGGGTTTTAGAATCAGAATACCCAGCATTTTGCCCCTTAGTATTTGGGGGCCTACAGTGAGGGATGACTCTATTTCTCTGCTCATAACTGTGCATGCTGATGACTTGAGTCCCACGTAGCAGGTATAGTGGGTGTTGAGAAGACCCTCAGAGTAAAGGAAAAATCTTTAACAAATTTTAGCCAGTACTAACTGGTGACTCCATCACTGGATGGCAGTAAGGGGTGAGGCCGCTGAGGTTAAAGAAAAAAGGAGGGAAACTTATGTCTTTCACTTCCCTTACCACCACCTGGACATGGGGTTTGGAGAGGTGACAGAGTGAGGGATTTGGAAAACTAGGTGCAGATCAATTAGGTTCTCCCAGTTGTCCAGGGACTCATGATCTTTCCCTCTAGTAATTAAGGAGACAAGAGTGAAGGAAAAGGAGGAGTAAAGTAGAAGAAGTTGTTGGGCTTGGGCACAGTGGCTCATGCCTATAATCCCAGCACTTTGGGGTACCAATGTGGGGGGTGCCCAAGATCTCACTCTGTTGCCCAGTGGTGTCACCATAGCTCACTGGAACCTCAAGCTCCTGGGCTCAAGCGATCCTCTGCCTCAGTCTCCTGAGTAGCTGGGACTATAGGTGTGCGCCACCATGCCCAGCTAAGTTTTTCATTTTTATTATTTTTTTGATGGGGTCTTGTTGGGGAGGGGAGTGAAAGCAGGGGGATGAATGAAGAGGCTGCTATAATAATCCAGGGGAAAGAGGATGGTGGGTTTGAACTAAGGAGAAAGAAGCAGTGGACGTGAGAAGTATTGGGCAGATCTGGATCTATTTGGAGGTTGAGCCATCCAGATTTGCTGATAGATTGGATGTGGGTGTGAGAGAAAGGGAGGAATGAAAGTTTTTAGCTTGACCAGCTGAAAGGTTGGAGGTGTAATCAAATGAGTTCGGAGAAGACTAACAGTGGAGTGGATACTAGAAGGAAGATTAGGGGCTCATGAATTCAGTTTTGGACAGATGGAGACTGAGACATTTAAGTGAAGACGTTTAGTGGGCAACTGGATATATGACTGGAGTTCAGGGGACAGATTTGGACTGAAGTTACAAATGTGGCAATCATTGGCATATAGGTGATACTTAAAGCCATGAGACCAGTGAGATGAACAAGGACGTGAGTGTGGATAAGGAAGAACAACAAGGATTGAACCCTAAGGAGGTGTAACTTTAAAAAGTCAGAGAGAAGCGGAAGAACCAGCAAAGGAGACTAAGGAGTGACTAATGCGGTAGAAAGAAAACAAGGAATGTATGTGTCATTGGAACGCAGTGAAGAAAGTGTATTAAGGAGGAGGGAGTAATCGTTTGCGTCAAGGGCTGCCAACAGGTCAAGCAGAACAATAATTGAAATTCAACCATTAAATTTAGCAAGAGGGTTACTGGTGACCTTGACAAGAGCAGTTCTGGTAGAGTGATGAGTGCTAAGTCTGATTGGAGCGCGTTCAACAGAGAACAAGAGAAGAATTAGAGGCAGGAAATACAGATAATACTTTCTAGGAGTTCTGCTATACATGAGGCAGCAGTTGATGGGAAAAGGGAAATACAAAAAAGTGTGCGTGTGCGTTGTTTGTTTTTAAGGTGGGAGAATTGCTGGAGTCAAGAACTTGACAGATGAAAGGGGGTGGAATCTAGAGCCTGAGAGGAGCAACTAGCTTCAGATAAGAACAGGGTGAGGTCATTGTGGGAAGAGGGGAAAGGCAGCATGTAGGGCACGAATGCAGATATGGAGGCTGGTGATGGAAGTCTGTAGAGATTCTCTTCTGATAGCTTCGATTTTCTCAGTGAAGTAAGGAGCAGGGTTATTAGTTGAGAGAAAGGCAATGGGAGTGCGCTGTCAGTGTGAAAAGTTGCGTTTGCAGTGAGTGGACTAAATCCAAAACAGCGAGTTTGCCAGGGAGCATTCAGAACGAGTTGAGGTTCAGGGTTGTAGCTTGAAAGCGGGAACACTGTGGCAGTGCCCTTCTCCAGCCACATTCGGGCCGGGCTGCCGCTTGGCGACTCGGGGAGGAGCCGCGGCCGGCCTGGCGCTTGCTGGAAAGGCTCGCTCTCTCCGCAGGGCCTCCTGCGGGTGCAATCCCCTGTCGCCTCCCCCTTTCACCTCAGGAACCTTGAGGAGGAGAGGGAGACGAACACAGGGAGCTACGGAAGGGGCATACTGGGAACTGTGGTGTCCCAACACCATGTATGTCAGGAGCTGTAGTCCCTGTCACCTCCCCATACACCAGTTCTGTCTACCTGTCGCAGGCAACACTGGGGAAGGTGGCCGGCTTGATGGGAAGCCTTCCTGCGAGCATAATGGGAACCGTAGCCCCAACGCGAGGCTGATTGGGAACTTCAGTCCCCCTGGCATCCTTATCTACTCTCACCTGGGGACGCTGGGAACAGGTTTGACTAAAGGGAAAGGCGAAAGCCACGGAACTTGGGAAGGGATCGTACCTGAAGCCGCAGTTTCCTCAAGGCGGGGCACGGCTGCATAGGGGGAAATCTCGTCCCCTGGAGAGACGGAGAAAGGCAGCGCCTCGGGAGCTCGGAAACGTCGTCCCGCTGGCGGTCCAAGCTACAAGTAGTCCCCGGTGGGGCTTCTGCCTATTCCGCCTAACCAGCCTCGTACGCCGCTCCCCCTGTCCCTTCCTCCCCTCGTGTCCGTCTAGGCCCCCGCTCGGCACTGGAGAGGGGAGAACCGCGAGACCCGGAGAGAAAGAGGCTGAAGAGCACGTGAGAGGCAGAGGCGGCCGGGGCTCGCGGATGGCGCCGCCCCTCGTCAGCGCGCGCCTCTGGGAGTCGCTCGCCCTGGTCACCGCGCGCGCCCTAGCCCCAGCCCTCGTGCCCGCACGCGCGCGCAATCGGTGGGTCGCGCGTGCTTTCGCGCCCAAATGCGGGGTGGCATTTCCCAGCCCAAGCGAGGCGGAATGAAGCTCTCACAGAGCGCGGAGCCGGCGCGGAAGGGAGCGATTGGTGTGGCGGAGACATGTTTCCCTGCTTCCGCCCCACCTCCCAAGACACCTGTTCACTCAGGTCCCCCACGCCCGGGCCGGATGGGGAGGGAGAGCGGCAGGGCGGGCCCAGGCGTACTCCCAGGTGTGTGCCCTCCAGTGGCCTCTCTGACCCACCTATTTGTGGGAGGTGGTGCCGAAAGATGCCAGAGAAACGTTTGGATACTGTGTGCTCTGTTGTCTGTCTCTTGTTTTTATAATAGGTTTTGCTTTGTGGCTTTTTCAAGCTTGGTGGGGCTTGGGTGCTGCCTCCGTAAAGGGCCGCTTGGAGACCCCTTATAACCATAAAGAGCCAGCCGTGCACGCAGGCCGCCGACGCAGTGCCTCTGTCATAAAGGCCACAGCCTCCCACGCACGTCCCCGCATGTCCAGTGACAATGGCGTAATACCTAAGAACATTCCTGCAGACTGACTCTTGGCGCTGCCACGTTCTAGCTGTGTGACTGGGGTCTTCCTCCCCTGGAGAAAGGGGGATGACTGTACCTTTAAGTAGGGTCGCCACATTTTATTTAGCAAATAAAAATGCAGGATACCCAATTACTTTTGGATTTCAGTTAAAAACCATAGTTTTTTAGTGTAAGTATGTACCAAATATTGTTTATCTGAAATTCAAATTTAAGTATTTTATCCAGCAACCCTGTTTTAAGGCATTGTTTGGACGCAATGCACAGACAGTCCTTAGAACAGTGTCTGGCACAGCCTTTTTATATGAAAAGGTCAAACTCCTCCCTCCCCCGAACATATTAGTGTTTCTAGTTATCTGGCTGTACGATCTCAAATGGCCAGCCTTAGAAAGTCACTCTATCATAAAAGTTCAGTTTAAAAGCCCCCACCATCCCACTGCAGTATATCGACCCCTTTCCACTATCACAAAGTGCCAGAGTTCCCCTGCCTTCCAGCTCTTGGCACATACATGTGAAGATTTTCACGTTCTTAATAATATTGGTGCTGTCACTGGACACAGGTGTGTGGGGGGAGGGGGTTGGGGGAGTCTGATGCATTATGATGTGTGAGCCAGTGACACGCTTTCTATGGGAAGTGTAACTAGAGTCAGTCTCTTCTAGAATTACGGGCATGTAACCCTCTGTGGAGGACAAAGGTGTGTGAGCCAGTAGGGAATGGGAAGTGAATGGGGAAAAGGATGATGTTGTATGACCAGAGCAGGTTTTCCCAGCCAGAAGGATGTGTGGCGTTGGTCCCACTGAGCTCATTAAGACATCTGCCACATATGAGATAAAACTTTGTTCAGTCTGAGAAGTCTAAAAGGGGGAAAAACGTTGAAGTGGCAGAACCTAGGATTATAAATGTAAGTCTGTTTGACTCTAAATTTTCTATTTTATTTCTCTTATTCTCCCTTAATCTCAGCATGCCTCTTCACTTCTCTCGCAGCAATAGCACCCTGAATTTATATTGCATTTTTATGATAAAGCCTTTTGAATTTCATTATCTCACTTTATTTTTCTAAATACTTTAGTAGGAAAAAAGAAAGGGGCATTTCTTCCTGAGAGCAAGAGGGGTTAAAGTGGAACACCTGACTCTCATTGGAAACTTGATGGAATTGAGTCTTAGTTCAGGATTTAGGCAGTAGTGTCATCAGGCAACCCCCATTTTCCCTGTTAGGGCTTCTCGTCTTAAATTACCAGAGGAAACTTCAAGGAGTCTCTGAGATTGTGGGATCTAACTCTTATTTCTCTTCCCATTAGCTTGCTGTAGCAGCCCATTCTCTCTTTCCTGTACTTTCACTCAGAAAAATTACACTGATTACAAATTGGACCCTTAGTATGGCTTCCTCTTCTTGACATTTAAACATCTTTAATTTTCTCATTAAAAAAATCCTCCACTGCAGGGACCAGTCATTTGGTCTTCCCATCATGTCCTTGAGAGTCGTATGCAGGATTCTGGAGAATTTAAACTTCACTATGGCAGAAGTTGACTTGAGGTAGTGACTCTTGCTAGGTGGAAGAGAAATGCTTGGATTGTTCAGCTATGGATAGGAAGCCCAGAGCGGGTCCTCCGTAGCACACTGGTGCCAGCCAGGAGCTGTTTGCCCTGGTCCCCAACAAGATAAGTACAGAAATTCAGAGTAAGCATTTAGGAATTTTTATAGCAGCGTTACAGAGTAATCTTATGTCTGTTCAACTTAATAATAAAAAAATCTGAAGTTAAAAAAGTCTTTCCTTAACCCTTTATCTTTTTTCTTTTTTTTCTCTGAGACAGGTTCTCACTCTGTTGCTCAGGCTAGAGTGCAGTGGCGTCATCATGGCTCACAGCAACCTCAAACACCTGGACTCAAGTGATCCTCCTGCCTCAGTCTCCTGAGTAGCTGGGACTACAGGTGTGCGCCACCACTGCACTCCAGCCTGAGTGACAGAGACAGAGAAAAAAAGAAAACAAAATAAAAAGGAGTACTTCTGCTCCTGCCCCTTCTCTAACTTGTCCCATTGCTCTTCCCTCTTTCTCAATTCCCTTAGTTTCCAATCTAACATTGGATGTTGTGATTAAGTCACTTTTACCTTCCGCAGGTTCTATAATCCAAGATGTCTATAAAGAGCTGGAATATCAGTAGGAAATCGTCTTCACCTAGATTTATTCCTTAGTGGGAGGACTTGAAACTCCTTATAAATAAGATCCTGAAGGACGAGAAGGTGATGTGTATGAAAGCTATGCTCTATGCACATGGTGGGCTTGGACTAATTATGTGTCCCTGCCAAGGCAGGCTATGGCAGGGGCAAGATGTAAGCACCTTTGGAAGGGCCCTCCCATATCCCCAATTTTCCCTGCCAGATTAAGATGCATTAAGTACCATTAGAACACTTTCTGCTGCAAGTAACAGAAAATGGACTTATATGGATTAAACAAGTACGTCTTACATGTTGTCAAAGACCCACGTTCTTTTTCTTTTCCACCATTCTTAGTATGTTAGCTTATTATCTTAAGGTTGCAAGATAATTGCTGCACTTCTGGTATTGGCTTCAAATTGCAAGTAGATAGAAGAGGGAAGGTCAGAGAGCCACAGGGCTGTGCCAGCCTTGGAGTACCATAGTAGTACTCTGGATACCCCTAATTTCTAGGTCCATGATCACCCTAAATAAAATCAGAGTTTTATTGGGATGGCAGGAGGAGGAAGAGGAAGGAGAAGGATTGATAATAGAACAGGCAGCAGTAATATCAGGCACAGATACATTATGTGAGTTTAAGACATTCTTAGGCTTTTAGAGTCTTCTGTAGAAAAGCATTGATATTGTTGAATGAGTGAATAAATTGCTTGTACATGGAGACTGGAAAGGAGAAAAGGAATCGTGGTTAATGAAATAATGGATATATAAATTAGCTTTTTGATTCAATTAAGAGGGATAAGGGATTGGGAGCTCAGACACCAGGGTCCTTTTTCTCAACTCTGTTACTGCCACTGAATCAGCAGTGACAGTGGGTGTTGGAAGCAAGCTCTTGAGATCTGAAAATAAGAAATACAGAAATGAAAAGAGATTCTGAATTGCAGATATTGGCTTCATTATATTCTCAAATCCTTTGTGTATGCAGGAAGCAGGCATGATGGGCATTGTAAGTAAACAAATTTTCATACTTCAGTTTAATTTAGTATTTTATAATACTTTCCAACTTAGGTGGTCAGAGGACAAATTCTGATGCGGATAAACTTGGAGAGTTAAATTCATGGAGCACTGTTCAGGAGGCAGGTATAGCACAAGCATCTGCTGAGAAGGGGGACCCCAAAAGTAAACTTCATGAGTCTTAGTTTTGGCTGATCGGTACGAGGAGCTCATGTACATACATTACACACATATGCTATGTCACTGGAAGGTAGTGTGTATTGTAAATATTCTACTGTGTAACATTTCAAAAGGTATTTATTTCCCTTGATAGATTCACAAACACACATACACACAGGAAGAATACAGAATGTTAGAGCTGACACACAGCTAACTCCCTGTGTAAATGTGTGAATAGTACACATTTACCTTGGATACACATAAGAATAGCGATGGAGGTGCCTGCCACAGGGTCTAGCTGTCCGACACGGTAGGCATTCTATTACGTCTATGAAGTATCAATTTCCCATAGGCAGTATATCTTGCATGTGTAACAGAAGTGGTCCTTTGGCAGGAACTTTGAAGAGTTGTTCCAACTGTGACAGGTATAGATATTTGCCAAGATTGGGTTCCTTTTAATACTCATACAGAATTGTATTCCTTTCTTTCCGAGTACTTATTTTGTATACTCAGTTAGTTATTTGTTTAATATCTGTTTTTTGCACTGGACTCATCTTCTTAAGGGCCAGCCATGTCTGTTTTGCTCAGCACCGTAGCCTCAGTGTCTTTCATAGAACCTATCAGCCTTTCTCAACTGTAGTTCCTCATCTGAACCATGGAACACAGAAAATGATTCGAGGGGCTATCTTCTCATTTCTTTCAATTTTACATAACTAGTAGCATTCTAGATGACTAAGAAAT